CTCCCCCTTCATACCAATCTAACCCAGTTTTCCTTATGATGTGTTATGCATACAGATTGAAGAGATAGGGAGATAAAATGCATCCTTGTCTGATACCTTTGCCAATTGGAAACCATTCTGTTTCTCCATATTCTGTCCTAACAGTGACCTCTCGTCCGGAGTATAAACTGCACATCAAAACAATCAAATGCTGTGGTATACTCATTTCCTTTAAAGCCAACCATAGCTTTTCATTACCTACACAGTCAAAAGCTTTGCTGTAATCTATGAAACACAAGCTGGTTTTCTTCTAAAATTCTCTCATATGTTCCAGTAATTATCATAAATTTGCAATATGATCTCTAGTGCTTCCTTTTCTGAATCCAGCTTGAACATCTGGCATTTCTTGTCCCATATATGGTAACAGTCTTTGTTGAAAGATTTTGAGCACCATTTTACTTGCATGAGAAATTAATGCAATGGTTCAATAGTTGCTGCAGTCTTTGACATCTCCTTTTTTTTGGAACTGAGATGTAGATGGAGCGTTTCTAGTCTGTGGGCTTTTGTTTTGTTTTCCATATTTGTTGGCCCACTCTTGTTAAGATTTTGATGGACTCAGTTTCTGTGGCTTGTAATAGCTTTGCTACACTTTGCTACACAGTCATTATTAGCCATATCCATATTAGAGAAAGTACATGATGATGCTGAAGGAGCAATCCTAAGCAGGTCTACTCAGAAGACCTACATTATTGACTGGAGCTTACTCTAAGAAAAGTGTCCTTAGGATAGCAGCCTGAAGCTGCCCATGCCTCTCTGGTTGGTGATTTTAAATTTTAGAAAAGAGAAAGTGATCACCAAGAAACCAAGTGCTGAAAAAGCACACTTTTAAAAACGGTTTTAACAACTATCTGGCTTATTAACTGCTTTTCACCCCCTCTCCCCCCATGCTAATGTAAATGGGGTGTGTGTCAGAAAACTGTATTATGGCGCAATGTATATGGTTAGGTTTTATGGATCAGGATTTTAGATTTTTACTGTATTTCTATGTATTTTATGTGAAATTGTTGTGCACTGCCCTGAGCCCGCTTGCAGGGAGGGCAGCATAGAAGCTTAATGAAATAATTTTTAAAAAAATAAAAAAGAGGTGACAATCCCTCATGCAAAATAATGGACTACTGACCCAAGCCATCCAAATGGAGAGAGAATGTAAAAGTGATTGAACAATGGTAATAGTGACCTTCTAGAACAGCCTCTTTTTTGTTCCTTGCTATTTCCCTTTGCTTTCCTCTCTGTCACTTCTTGCCACTCTTAACTCTAAGGCACAGTTCAGATGTAAAAGCAAATCATGGTTGGTCACTATATGAACAAGATAGATAATCTTCAGGTACATACATGTCCCCTGCCCACTACGGGAGACATTTCATCAGCTGACATCATTTCCACCCACTACTGTTTGTCCCACTGTCCTGGACGCAAGGTCGGGTGGGAGGGCTAGACCACAAGAAAATTGCCTGCCTGCCCCCCAGCAACCTAACAAATAATTTTCACTTATATTGTTTGCTATTGTGTCACTGTCAGGAAACTATACTTTGCTTTTCTGCTGAAAAACTATGATTACAAATTGGAAATGATAAACCACTATTTGGAAACCTACTGGTTTGCAGAAAACACACTAACCACAGTTTACTAGAGTGAGATGTAAGGTCAAACTACGATTAGCAGTGAAGGCAGAATTCATTTACTAGATCACTGTGTACTAGACAAGAAGGGAGTGCATGAATCCCAGAGCCATCCCATCTTGTTCACATCTGAACTAAGCCTTACTAAACTGTTTCATCATCCCAGCTTATCCCCCAGGTACATGAACCTTTAAACAGAGACTGGTTCCACAGAAAAGCAGTGAAGCCTGAACTCCTGATTGAGGCTATAATCTTATAACAACTTGCCAAGAGCTTCAAGAGAGTCAGCAGCCACAATTCAAATGCTCATGTGCATGCGCAAGTCCCACTGGAATGAAGACTTTGATGTCACAACATCCAACTCCATTCTGGATTGTGGCCAGTAATTTCAAGACATAAGTATATATGGGTTCCAAAACAAGGCCAAAAATGCCTTTAATTTTCAGTAAAAACGTACCGCTTCATAATAGTTAATAATTATCCTTTCCAACAATAAAACAACTTTCCTACCCTATCTACTGCTTCAAAATAATTCATTTTTAAATGCAAATGTAGGGAGTATAAAGACACTATTAAAGTTTTTATTTAGCTATATATTTACTAGAGCGGGGAATAAAAGGATTTCAAAGGAGGCGGGAGTCTGCCACTAAAAGACTGAACCGGACAAATCCAGCCATGCCAATCCCTCTGAGAAGTAGCTAAATAAAGCAAGGTATAACAGTAATAATGTGCACATTTCAGTGGTTCAAAGTGCTTCACGTATAATGTCTCAATAACCTTTACAACAGTCCTGTAAGGCAAGTGAGTGTTGTTATATCCATGCTATAGGTGAGGGTTAGAGAGAGTGGTTTAGCTAAGGTCACCTAGAAATTTCATGGCTGAGTTAAAATTTACACTAATTACTTCCAGGTTCCCGTGTTTAGCCAGTTATTTATGAACATAACCAATGCCCACAGAAGAAATAAAATAAACAAATACAATATAATAAATCACTATAATAAAAACTATGAATTAAGTAAAGGGGGGGGGATTCCTACTAAGTTATTATTTTCAAGTCCTATCTTCCTCTATATGTAACCTGAAGTCCCGGGCATCTTCCCATTCACAGCTTGGGAATTCCAAACACCAACTGTATGCAGGCTGTACCCACTTCCACATAGGATGGAAGGAAGATGCCAGTGTAGTGTAGTGGTCAAACTGTAAGACTAGGATCAGGAGAACAATGTAAGCTACTTCGGGTCCCCATTGGGGACAAAGACAGGGTATTAATGAAGTAAAGAAAGAACGCATGCATTGTGTTCTGCATTGCTTTTCTTCACGCTCAATTCAGGGGTGGGCAGTGGAGATGGCATTCATTTTTCCTGCCTGTTACAACCAACCAGGCACAATGACGGTATCCCAGACTCCCTCAGGGACAAGTCACAGACTGCATTTTTAAGTGTATACCTAGAGAAACCTGGGGTGCAAGAACAGAATGGTGGTACAAACAGAACTGTGCTGGTCAGAGAGTATGCATGTGATGAGGTATACACATTAGGAGGTATACACACTTAGGTTGCCTGGAGAAGAAAAACTCATGTCCCTTTAATAGAGGCTTAATGGGATGTTATTTCCAAGGTGATGTTATTTACCTCCATGTCATGGAAAGCCTCAGCTGTCCATTTCTCCAATCTCCAATGTCCAATCTCTGTCCAATCTCTAATGGCCAATCAGAAGGCTTGCCGGACAAAAGCCCCACCTGGCCCCATCAATTTTCTAAAAACACTTGGGAGGCATCAGGGAACTGGCGGTAGGTGTCACGGTGCCCATGGGCACCATGTTGGGGATCTGTGCATTAAGCCTCTGTTAAAGAGGCAGGATATTTTTCTCCAGGCTGGTTGGCAGCCCTATATACAGAAAGTATCAGGTTGGCAACTGTGTTGGTCTGCAGCATAAGAGTAAGATTTGAGTTCAGTATTCCACAGTATAATTTTTCAAGAGTGAGAGTTCTGATGAAGGCTGCTTTGACACTATTGAGGTGCCTTAAAGACCAACAAGACTGAGCTTATACCCTGGAATCTTGTTGATCTTTAAGGTACTACTAGACTCAAATCCTACATACAGAAAGAACATGCATGGTATATAAGCTACAGGGAGAACAAGAAAAAACAGCATGCACCATGGGATGCAGGAAGAATGAGAACAATAAGAGTTCAGGGAGTGTAAGACCAATATGTGAAGCAAGAAAAAGTGTGTTATGGAGTACAGGAAGCGCAATACAGTGCACAGATACTATGGTGAGAAAACAAAAAGTAGGAGTGTACTGAAAGATGCAGAGAGTGCACATATACTACAGAGTGTAGTAAGCATGCACGCTATAAGGTGTTCCTAGGGTGAGAGAAAGAGGTGCAGGAAGAGTAAAAGAGTGTATGCATCTACTATGGTAGCTGAAGGCGCACTATGTTACATATGGACAGCAGAAGAGACTGTGTGCATTATGGTCGATGGCAAGCTTAACTTGTGAGGTGCAGAACCAATGTAATCTATGGGCGCTAAAGGGACGGCAAGAAGAGGTGCATGATGAGACAAACAAAACAAAAATACATGCACTGTGGAGGACTGGGAGACAGTACATTGCGGGGTGAGAATAAGAAAAAGAAGGTTTAAGATAGACTGAATACGGGGAGGGGGGAGGGAGAGAATAAGAGGTATTACACTGGTTTAAA